CCATAAACCCCAAACCTTAGCAACAATTGGTTCATCCCCATCTATAGGTCCTGAGCAAGCCACTATGAACTTACATATGCTTGATAAAGAAAAACAAGGCATCATAGACCTTGTATTTTCAAAAGTACCATCAAAATAAATAAAAATCCCACCACTCAAAACTTGAAAAGATGGAAAAGAATAATCGGCAATTGTTGGCACCTCTAGATGAGTAATTCTCATCACAACAAGAAATACATAGTGGGAATACAAGACCAAAACCATTGAAGCAAACTCATAGACTGAGAACCAGTAGTGTGCATGTGACACAAACCTTACAAACAAAAACGAAGGAGATGTTCAATATCCACCTCCAAGCAACTAAGGCCCTATTTGGCAACGTTCCGTGAGAACATTCTATGCGTTCCAGGTGTTCTCACGAAGCAAAAACACATTTGGTACAAGAAAAAAAAAAGTGTTATCGCGTGAGAACAACACCCAAAGAAGAATGCATTCTTTGGGAGTGAAAAATCGACACTTCCAAAGAACGTGTGGTTCCCACGGTGTTAATCTCTATTAACGAACACGTGTTAATGATTCCCACGTAAGAGAAGGGATATTTTGGGTATTTCACACTAAATGATAGAAAGAAGCCTTACCAAAAAATTTCGTTCGACAATGAACTCCTCCAACTTGCTTTTACAAATCTCAAAGGAAGGAAGGACTCCCTTGGTTCCAATCGAACAACGAACAAATGGTAGAAAACACTGACAACATTTCCGGCCAGGAACACGTCAATAGGTATGTTGTCTTGTCACCATACCTAGTTTTGTATCGTGTGCTTTGCTTTAAACTCACATTTTCTCTGGCTAGATTCACTTGAAATCGTTTTTGCTCCCACCGGAAAGATGAGCCTTAAACAAGCAAGCACACGAAAATGATTTCATTTGGATAAACCAATTCATACCCTGTGACGGTGGCAGACATGTTGAAGTGCGAAAAGAACCAATTGCATGAAATAGGGATTGATTTGTAGCCATTATTGCTTGCGGGTGTTGTGGCATCATGGCATGTTGGACTTTTGTTTTATTGCTTGTATGTTTTGTTTTGATCCTCAAGTGATCAAGGATTAGGTGGTGACAACATGAAGACATTGTTATGACAATGACATGTGTTTTTTATGGTTAGTTTTAAACTTAATGTGGGTGGATTTGCAAAACTGATGTTAAGAAATAGTTTCATTACCCAAATGATATTTCTATTCTTGTAGAACAAAAATTCGTTCTCGAAGAATAATTTGCCAAGCGTATCAGTTACTCCTGAAGAGCAAGAAATAAAATTCTTGTTCTAAAACATGAATTTCTAWAAGAACAATAACATATGGGAATATTGCCAAGCATGGACCAAAGAATATAACAATTAAGTGTTAAATTCATTCCATCCTTGCATAAGATAAAGAATAGACCTACAATAAAATTTGTACAAACGAGTTAAGATGAAAATGGGCAAGTGAAGGTTGGATGGAGATGAAAGCCAGGGTTTCATTTCTTTTTTCTTATTTCATCTTCTCTTTGGTTTTCTTTGAAAATTTGAAAAACGATGAAGGGCAAAAAAGTATTTTAATTGATTCCATCAAATCTAACAGCTAGAAGGTATACCTAAGTCTGTTTTGAAAAACTCAGGATATGTTTAAGTCAATTTATGAAAACTTAGGGTATGTTTAAGTCTTTTTATCCTTGTATTTATTGATGACATGAATAAAATACAAACTTAAAACCAACCAAAAAATGGAGTTGTTTTATTGTTTGGTGACAAGTTAGCAATTTAACCTTTTGGGTCAAATGTGTCAACCCTAGATTCCATAATTAAATAATATTATAATAATAAAAATTAAAAAGATTAAAACATACAAAATTATAAAAAAGTACAAAAAAATGGTTAGATATTTGATTTTGTATGTTTTAATCTTTAAAAATGGTTATATATTTGATTTTAAAACGTGATTTAGGACCAATATTGGACATATCTATGGAACCATGGCTATGGCTGCAAAATGGAGTGAATTTAAATCCAACTTGGATTCAAATTCGATCCATTTATGTTGAACTCAGATATCCATTTAGCCATATATAATAAGGTTGAGTCATATATGAAAAGAAACATGGTTTGTTTATTAACTAGAGATTTTGTTCAGATATTGCTGCATCTAATCCTCTAATATATAACATTTTTAGTTTCAAAATTCTTTAGAATCAATTTGGATTTGAGTTTTATATAAAATTACTTTCATTTATAATACATTTTTATTTTATAAATTTATGCCAAATTTATATAGATTTGTTGATATTCTTAATTTCTTATTTCTTATTGGGCCATATATATATATATATATATATAACTGAATCAACTTTGAGTTTGTGTTTTACATATCTTCTTAGATAATTGATTGAATTTGGATTTCTTGGTTTTTATTTTTATTGGACGGTGTCCAAATCCAATATGATCCATTTGCACTYCTACCCACGGACTGGGCTTGGGTCTAATATTTACTTRTGAGAAAGTTGAGCTTGAGCTTGGTACGGTTTAAGCAGAGAAAGTATTAGCTTTTATAGCTGTTTTATTGGTTGTGGGATCAACCATTTTGCTCCATGTCAGCTATAAAGTGTATATGGTCCATGATCATTTAATCTCTCAATTGCATTCTATGGCTGATGCCGAGCAAAATGATTGGAGTTCAAATCAGCCCCCCACAACATCTCACAGCACATCTCCGCCATGTAGTGGGAACATCTCCTGATGATGACATCATTATTTCTGATATTATCATCGGGAGATGTTCCCAATACACGGCGAAGATGTGTTGTGGGACATTATTGGGGGGCTGATTTGATCTCAAATGATTGATCCCACAACCAGTAAAACAGCTATAATGTTAAACTAATATCGGTTTAAGCTTGGCTATATAAAACATAACCTATTTACAAACCACTACTTACAATCACAAGCACAAAAAAGAAAAAAAATCACAAATTAATATTTTTTGGCAAAATAAATCACTGCATTAAAAGTAAATTAAAGCATAAATCAAATTTATATAGATAAACAATTTTTCCTTGTCTAAATAACATCATCATCATCTAAGCCTTATCACAGTCATATGGAGTTGATACATGAATTGTTAAATTATGAACTCTGAAATCATTTCTTACCAAGGTTCAAAGTATCGATGTACACCAATAAGCCAGATGGGACGTATTGGGTGTTTTGACCCTACATTCCCCTTTTCTTTATTTTTTTTTTTCAAAACCTGTTCAAAGGGTCAGTATAAGGCTCCTCTACCCCCTGAAACAGGTCAAAATATCAAAACATATAAAGTTGACGTATCAGTGACAGAACGAATTTTTAGTATGCTGCTAGCGGCTAGCCCTTCTAGCCATTTCAACTTGCAAACAGATTTCTTCCATGCATGTAATCAAACTATCTTAGTTTTCTTGCTCTCATTTTATATTTTTATCACCTATTGGAACTAATCTAAACATGCTTAAACAATCTAAGTGTTAAGACATCATCATCTAAACCTTGTCCCAATTATATGGGACTAGCCTCATAAAACTTATTTTGCCATTTTGTTTACTGTCATGTATTATTGTTAAAACATGGGCCCTTAAATAATTTCATATTATTTCACTTCAACCCATATTCTTTCGATCAAATTAAGACATTAATGCTGTGTTTGGTTTGAATGAAAAAGTAGGAAAAGGAAGGAAATCTATATAAAGTTTGTAAAGCTTTTACTATCTTTTCCTTCCATCCCTACCTTTTCTTTTCCTTCAAACCAAACATAACTAAGGAGTTGTTTAATATTGTGGCTTAATAAATTGCATGTGGAGTGTTTCAATTCATTGGACCCCATTGTGACATGGTTGAAAATGATGTATGAATTGATCCACGAAATTTAAGCGTGGACTATAAATGGGAAAATCTATGATTGAAAAAGATATTGTATGGAAAGAGTTTTGACCAATTCATTGGACTCCAATCAAAACTCTTAAATTACAATATGATCCAATTCAATCTGCTTTATAATATGGATTGAACCGAGCTATGTCTGAACGAGCAACAGTATTCAATGTACAAATGAAATAGGTATTCAAATTAAAAAATGGTTCAAAGATATATAGAGGGCTAAAATTAAGGATCTGCTTGGTTGAGAATTCCCATTTTTACCGGAATGGGAATGRCCATTCCCTGCCCCTTCCTTGGGAATGAAATCCCATTTTTACTAATTTTAATTCTCATTCCCATTCGTATCTGAACCAAACAGATTATGGGAATAGACCATTCCGATTCCGATTCCAAAAGATTTTGATTCTGACTCCGATTTGAACTACGAACCAAATGGACCCTAATACTAATAAACAAATTAAGGAGGTATTTGCCGAAATGCAGGATTTTGTTTTTTCAAAAAGAAAACCAACTCCCACAACAACAAAATCACGTGTTAATGAACATCTAAATTAATTAAAGAAATGCTTCATGGAAAAGTATCCCAAATGCTTATGAACTATGATGAAGTTTTGAATTTTGGCAAGCATTTTCATGCTCAATTGGAAAAAAAAAATCCAAGGATGAGCCTAGTTGATCTAAAAAGAGCATACCCAACTCAAAATCTGACTCTGATACAACATTTCATGCTTAATTGGAAAGTGGATTCTCTTTTTTCCTTTTTCTTTAAAAAAAGAAAAAGAGAAAAGAAAAAGCTTTCATTTCATCCTTGGCTTGGGTCAATCTCATTCTTGATTCCCAAGTCACTGATTAGTTCTCCAATTTCTATTTTTATCAAATAAATAAATAAATAGAAACAAAGAATAATATATCAAAAAATATTTATTTATTTTCACAAAATAATAAAGATAATTTATCAAAAAAAAAAAAAAACAGAGAAATGGGGGTATTAAAGGGATGTGTGGGCCCCTTTTGCTGGTCAGTGGCCTCACAAGTCACAGCACTGAATGCAGAACCAAAGCTAATTCCCCATTGTCCATTCTCTGAAGATGTCGTTTTTGGTGCCGATTTGTGTATTTAAACGTGCCCTAATCCATCTCTCGCAGCCGTTTGCAAGCGTGTTATGGGGTTGGTTTGTTTGGATTCTTCGAGTCAAGTATCAGCTGCTGAGGTTTTAGCCCCTACCTGCTTTCTTGTAGCCATGCTGCCAGGGTTTTAGGGTTTCCCCCCCATTTCCTCTTCTTCTGCTTCGCCTCCCAAGAACGGCCTGTAGCCCCACCCTCATTCAGAACCCTTCTCCAGCRGAGCCATGGATAGATACCAGAGGGTCGAGAAGCCGAGGCCCGAGTCGACCATCAACGAGAATGAGATTCGGATCACCACACAGGGTCCGATAAGGAACTACATCAGCTATGCAACCAGTCTTATCCAAGTAATGCCTCCTTTCTCCCAACCCTTTGAACTTTCTGTAGAGTTCACGTTTTTTCTGTTACATAGATGATTGATGATAACCATCTATGTTATTGTTTCTCAATGTAGTATTTTTGGTTCTCTTTGATGGGTTTTGGAGGTTTGTCATATCTATATCAGTTGCCTTTTGTTAATAGATTGCAATGGTTGGATGATGGGGACCCTTGTTTGGGTTCTGATCTGTTGTTTTGCTTGTTAGTTCGTCTTCTGTTTCTCTGTTTGTAGGCGTATATGCATGTATCTATGTGTGCATGACGATCTCTCTATTCATTCTATATTAGCTTATTCGCTTATTAGGTTTCTACACAGGGCAGAGTTATTTTGGTTGGTAATGGTAATATTCTCATTGATTGGAAGAGATAAAGCTGTTTTTTTTTTCTCATTTTCTTTACTGGATACCTCTGTTCCCATTCTAATCACATTTTTCTCTCTTTATTTTAGATCATAATCTGATTTGGGTATTTTTAGAATGCTTGTTGGTAGTTATGCGTATCCTATGTGTTCAGATTTTTTTCCCTTCTGAAACATCCTCATTTCGTTTTTGACTTGTGATTTATTTCTTTTTTTAGAGGCATTTAATTGAAGGGCATGTGATTTAAAACCTTTTATTAACTTAAATTTCATAGAGGGATGGGGTTTCTTTGACATTGTGATGAGTCCAATTTGACCACACCTTCGTGTTCATGTGCTTGTTTCTTGTTATACAAATCTTGAAAGAACTAATAGAGGTCTTGCTTCCATTAAAATGTTTAGATCCAAGGGTAATGCTCATTTCATTTAATTTTTTGGAGTGTGGAACTGAAAATGTATACYAGTTATTCATCCAAAATGCTATCTATTCGTTGTTGAATATATTCTGTACTAAAAGTCATGAAAAGGAGAATAGAAGCTATATACCTTCCTTGAAATGCTATATCTTTATTTACTTTTGTATTGATATCCCTTTGTTTCCCACCTCAAGGAGTTTTCTTTCAACTCATTTCCCATCATCAAGGAATAAAATATCAATAGGATATTCCCTGTACTGGGCATATTGATATGACCAATACACCCAATACCTGAAAGTGGGTATCAGTGTGTATTAATATGACAGCTCCTTTTTTTTTACTTTTTTTTTATTTTAACAGCATGAGAGGTATGCTCTCTATCATCCCAAACAGCCAAAGTTTCAAAATTCTTTGTGTATCAGGGTGTCCAAGCATTTTAGGGTCCACCGATACGGACATGGAGCATATTATATTGATACTTTGATCTTTGAAAAAATGGTAAAAAAGGTCAAACATTTTAGGTTAAGAAACATAAGCAATATGGGCCCACATATTCTTTCAAACATTGATTATTGGTATAAGAAATCTAGTGGTATGCTTGATGCTGAGAGCATCTTTTTCTTTGCAAAATATAGGTGTTTCCTGTTTCATACTGCATGATGCAATTATTTGTTTATGCAGCAATTGTAGCTTTTCACCATTCCACTGGTATCTTACATCCCATGCCTAAACTTTTGCCTTTTCCTTTGCATGTTATCATTTTTTTTAACATTTTTTTTTGTTTTCCTAGGTGAATGGGGGTAACCCTCCCCAAACCCCCCAAACTTGGTGAAGGTGGGATTTGGCCCTCTAAATTTATTGCCTCATCTAAATTGGAGGAATTTATATGCCTTGCACAAGAGTCCAGTTTTGGGATGAATTTGTCTTCCATTGTATCATTGGAAATGGAGAAATATGAATTCTTCTAGGAGTATGAATTGCTCCTAAATGAGTATCTTCTGGGTCCTTGTTAATATGGTCCTTAAATGAAACACTTGAATGATGGAAGCTTGCATTTTCTTGATTTCTTCTTCTTGAAAGGGTCTTCTGTCTTCAGCACTGGAAAATGATAGATCATCATTTTACTTTTACTGTATATTTCTACCCACATTCTTGTGAGACATTAGAAAAGACTCAATGGAAGTCTTTAGGGAATTCCATTAGAGTGGAAAGAGTAACAAGGTCATGTATGTTTATAACTTAATATTTGTGATAAAAATTTATACAAGGTACAAACCCCAAAGGCTTCAGACAAGTCAGTTTGGGAAGGAGTCTCTACAGAAATATTGCCCAAGTACTGTCAAAAGAATTAGGTGTAAAGAACGAGTATGAAAAACATGAGAAAGCCTTGTGTCCATACTAGGAAGACTTCTAAGGACATGAAAAACATGAAAAGGCTGCTAACAGAATTTGGACTAGATGTTAATTGCAAACAAAGTATGAAAACATGAAAAAAGTTAGAAGGCCACTAAGAAATAAAAGTTAAGAAGAAAACACCTTATGATACAAACTTTGGGGAAGATAACAATCATGTTGATTGGAGGTTCTTGGAATCCAGCCAGTTTTGGGGGAAATATGCAGAAAGTAGGATGACTTTACCCAATTTTGGTCCAGGCCATCCAGGGGTCTTTGTGGGGACGGATTGGAACTGGGTATGGACCTTGCCTTCAGCATTTTCTTGTATTAAGTGGCTTCTTTAAGAGTTGAGCCTTTGTTCTCATGCTTGTCAGCCTGAGTTTTTGCCATTGACCAAGAAATGGTCCCTAGTATTGTACCAAGCAAGAAATTAGAAAGGGGAGTAGGAAGAACCAAAGGTAGAACTCARGGTCCTTTCTCTTTGTTCTTCGTCAGTTCATCCATTTCATATTGACGTTTAGTTGCTGTGTCAAATTTTGCAAAATGCTAACATTTATTTTGTTGATTTATTTTGTGAGCATGTCCACATACACAAAAACCACAAATAGACACATAAGGCAAGGATGAAAAGCTTAAGAGATCGAGATGGGGATATGGGTATTTTGGGCTGTCTCATGGTTATGATAAATGTTTCTGCTAATAAAGTTGTACTAGATATACTGTCCTTTCCTCTCCATTTGAAATCATACGATACATTATATTAATTAGAATGTCTATGTATTCAGGATAAACGGGTGAAGGAGATTGTTCTGAAAGCAATGGGACAAGCAATCAGCAAGACAGTGGCCATTGCAGAGATTATAAAGGTTGGTTTGGCTATTTTATGACTTATTGTTTCCCTATGTCTCAATTGTGTAAGTGTAAGACAGATTGATACTCAGTCATTTTCATACAAAAACAGAAGAGAATCCCTGGATTACATCAAGAAACTGCCATTAGCTCAACAAGCATAACTGATGTTTGGGAGCCCATTGAGGAGGGTCTTGTACCGTACGTCTCTATTTTGTCCTTTTTGTCTCCAAATATATTCAATATGATATGCTTGTGATACCACTGGATATAATTGTAATATGCAGGTTGGAGATGACTCGCCATGTTTCAATGATTTCAATCTCTTTGTCAACAAGGGAGCTAAACAAGAATTCTCCTGGGTAAGTCTAGCTGTTCTCAACATTTCTGGGTTAAGATTACCCTGATAACATTATATGCTGTGACCAACTTGAGTCATCCTTAATGCTAGCTCTCTCTCTCTCTCTCTCTTTTAATCCCCAAACTTCACTCCTGGTGGAGGGGCGGTCAACGACTGATAAATTTTATTAATAAGCATACGCAGAAAGAAACCTATGGGGGGGGAGGTGTGTAGACGCCTTGCCCCTCTGGAGAAACTATACACTAGATATCCAGCAAAAGGAAAAAAAAAATCTACACATTACTAGCAAGTAAGGCAGGACACCACTCAGTGATTTAAAAGGCGCACCTAGGTGCATTTTAGGCTAGGCATCTTGCCCAAGTCCTAGGCACATCACTTTCAAAAGGTGCACACCTGGTGCRCCTAGGCGTGCGCCTTGTCTCAGGCGTGTGCCTTTTAAAAATTGTACTCTTTTTTGCTTTTTTTTTTGAACCTAGCGGAGAACCCCCTATTTGCTAATGTTGTTCATTTATTCATCTTAATAAAATATCTTCTTAAAAGGCAAATAAAATTATAAATCATTATTTTTGTGTGAGAATTAAGAATTTAAGACCCTAACATGGACTTGTTTGGGCTTACCTCGAGGGGCGTGGCACAAAGGTGACTCGTAGAATTAGGAATGTAATATGTTTTACATTACATTAGCTACTTGAAGTAATGCAATTGAAGAAAAAAAAAGATTGTGGGCTTTATGTGCTTGAAAATGTTTTATATGTTTGATTTTATTTTTAAATTTTCATTTGAATATGCTTTACATGTTATGTTTATGTATTTTAATTTTAGATAACCATTAATTTTAAAAGTTAAGTTTATATTTCTTATTAATATCATGTTTAATATTTTTGCATTTTTTGAATTTTTTGACATTTTTTTTTGATTTTTTAGCAATTTTTTTGTATTTTTGTGCCTTTAAAAAGGCGCGCATCTCGTCTCGGGCGCAAATTGGCCCTTGTGCCTTGCACTTTTAAAACACTGACACCACTCAAGAAAGAAACAACTAACCAACTCTAAGAAAAGATATGCCAGATCCATCATCAGCAACCAATTGCCTTATATGCACTGGAAGACACAGAAAGTTATCAAATACAGCATTGCCTTGAGCATCACATGCCAAGTTTGCCAAGCTATCCGCAATGTTGGCTTTCCTAGTTGATTCTTTTAGACATTGTTCTTTAGGGATAAACTTGAGAGGAAGCTGTGTTTTAATAGGTACCAAGCTCCATTACATGTAGAGCAGCCAAAGCCACAATACCAGTATCAGCAACAGCACCAACCGAGACAAACACCTGCTCCAGTTGCAGATCCTAATGAAGGTATACATCAACTAGTGGTTGGAAATGTTGGTTATCTAAAATTTGAGTATGGGTTTTCTGGATGAGTCCTGTTGCAAAGGTATCTATATGATCCAGGGACCTCACAGGTAGCTATTCATGATTAGCTACCTCATCCATCCATACTGATGGAAGAAGGGAATGCTTTTTGTATGTTAGTATATATTCTGGATGATCTTTTTATACAGTGAACCTTGTTAAAATTATAACATACTTTTGGACCATGTGATATTTAGATTCATATGGCCGGGGAAGAGGTCGTGGTAGAGGAAGAGGGAGGGGCTGGGGAAGAGGTGGATATGGCAACAATCAAGGTATTATATATGCTGCTGTTGTTTTTGTTCTGCATCTTTTGCTTCCTCATCTGTGCAGTGAACCTTTTTCTTTTTTTTTTTTCTCTTGATAGAAAATGGCGGATATTGGAACTGGGGTTGGGGAGGCGGACGAGGCAGAGGTTGGGGCTATCGTGGTAAGCAGTGTATAGTTTAACCTATCTGTTGTAGAGAAAAATGCATGTCAAAAGTTAATGATTTGCACACTGGTATGAATGTTTACACCACCAACCATGGAAACAAATAAATAGAAAAAGATAGATGCTATTTATAAAAAAAAGATGCCTTGCATAATCGTCACTACCCTTCCTAGCTCTCTCATGTTGCCATATCAGCAGCCATCTTTCCTCCTTTTTCTTATGCTTTCTCTCTCTCTCTCTCTCATGTTCCCAATCACATCTCCCTCCTAAAATTTCTCCTATACTATTCTCCTCTTCCTCTCTTTCTATCTATATCTATTTCTACCTCTCTCCACCTTCCATATACATGCATTTTATTTTTCATCAATGTATTAAAATATTAAAGTTAAAACTTAAATATTGAAATAAGATGAGTGAAAAATATCTAAAATAAGGGAAAAATAAATAATACAATAAGACAAATAATAAAAGTAAAGTAATAAAATTTAATAAATTAATTAAAAATTTAATATAATTTATAATTAACTTTTTTAATATTGTAATTATAAAATCTCTCTCCATGAGACGGTTTTGGCCCCATACATCATTATTTGTATTGACACTGAAACACTATTGTGTTTGCTCAGCGAACACTAGCAAGAAGATGACTCTAATGGATTGGAAAAGTGATGAGCTTAATTTATCTGTCTTGGTTTACCGAAGTTGTTATATAGAGTTTTAGAAAATATATCTTGAAAATAAATGTTAGGAACACTATTAATTAAAATTTCAATAAAATATTTTTCTGTTATATTTTGAAAAAAATTCTGTTAAATTCACTAAAAATTGTCTATAAATTATGTGAAAATTTCATAGCTAATTTACTAAAAATATTTTCTGTGAACATGAATTGTCTCCTATGTCTTATATCTCTATTGTAACGAATTTACTTTTTTGAAGCATTACATGGTAGATCAAATGGATCATGTTGTTTTCCTTGCATTGTCAGTTCTCTAAAATGAGCCAGGGGGCCTAAAATTCACTATGCATCAAATGCCTGAAAACCGTCCAGTTCACTAGCTTCAATTATCAATTCACATTGAACTGCACTGGTTTTATTAGTTTGACCTGGTTATGCAATTCTGAAAACGAAAAGAGTAGGGTCAGGTTATTTGAATACGGGAAAAGTAACCAATTCATACTACTCTGGACTGATTTGGTTTTATTGGTTTGTTGCAATTTTGAAACAAAAGGAGCAAATAAGGGAAATTTTCACTRAAAACATAATTTGTTAATTGTAAAATAACATAGAAAAATGATGGAAGATAATGGAAAAGAAAATTTTAACAAATTTGTTAATAAACAGAAAAAAACTACAAAATAAGGGAAATTTTCTAAAATATAAAATAACAAAAAAAGAAAAATATTTTTTTAATTAGCTGATAAAATAAGAGAATTTCACTAAAAATAACAGAAAATTTTAACATATTATAAGTAATATTTGTGGAGAAAATATTAAAAATTAGAAAGTATTAGAAAAATAAAAATAAGGGAAAATTACAAATCAGCAGCTTACTTTACATGATTAATTTGTTAAGTAACTCAATTAAAATAAGTTAAATAACGTAGTTTTATGAACTTACTCAAATTAGTAAAGTAACTTTATTTTGATGTAATTGTATTTTACCTTAATGAATTAATTTCATTTATCAAAAAAAATATTTTACCTTAATTGCATTAATTAAAACTCCTATATAGTTTGTCGTCTACAAAACCCCCTCATATTTGAGTTTGCATGGGCTCCCCACTGAGTGCGCTCCACATGTGCCAGCACCCAACATGAACATCCAACCGTGCAGTGGGAACATCTCACCATATTTGTAGTGCAATTTCCTAAATGCCCTTGTTAATTATTAAAGTCAATGAATAAAAATTTAAAATTAATTGAAAAGTTTAAATCATGAAATTCCTTCAATTTCAATTTTTGTTCACAATGTCCATACATTGTTGTTGGTTGTTTAAACATCTTTCTTTTGATAGGTGCTGGATATGTAAGAGGCAGAGGCTATTATGGTCGTGGCCGGGGAAGGATGGGTGGCCGGATGGGTGGCCGTGGGAGGGGTGGTTACCAATCCTAAATGGGGGTATGGTGTTTGCTCTTGCTAAATGCTTGCCTTGGCATCATAGTATGGAAACTATTCGAGGACTGGATTTTGGAGCATGAGATTGTAGCTTATGCTCACGAGTTGTTGAAGCAGTTATTTTGTCCTTGTTCTCTATGGTATGAACGCGGGCGGTCTTCCTTTAGGTTTTTGTTGGTTTTATTCAGCCAAGAGCAAGAGTCGTTGCTGTAATTTGTTTTCACTCTGCTTCCTCTACATTGTATCTATATCTCATTTTTCTTAGTGTATCTATTTTCTAAGCTTCTTGTCCCACAGTTCTTGTTTTATTTGAAGCAGAATTGCTAAATTTGCATGTGTTAAGATGTTTCCATTGGACGAACCATGGCAATTAGCAAGGTATTCTGCTCTAACTAGCTCAACTGTGTTCTTGATCAGAGGTGCATAGACGGCTGGTGCATCCGGCAAGGGATTTGTTCTGCTTTGCATTGGAGATTAGTTAGAGCGTGCCATCAGCAGCAGTGCAGTAGGGTGGTCCTTGGGAGGAACGAGACTGTTTCACTGGTTGTGGGAGAGTTGTTCTCAAGCTTGTCCAACCTAGAATAGAGATTGAAGGGGGTTCTTCCAGCCTTTCGTCTTGCTGTTTTAGTGGTTTTGGGAGAGATATTCTCGGACCTGATGGTTGTCGCCCTTGTGGGTGTGGCAAGCAAATAGGTTGGAGCCTAGGGGTTTAGCTTTGAAAGGTTAGACTAGTCCATATTTCAAATCAGAATAAGTTGAATTCTTCAACCCTATACAGTTAATTCTCTTGAAAATTTCAAACAGAGCTTAAATTTAAGCCTGGCATCATCAAATTGGTTCGTTAAGGGATTCKGGGTTCACTTATATTCACTTTGGTTGGTTGTTTGACACAGATTTGGAGACGCATTCCAAGGATGAAATGAATCTAAATCAACATATTTATCGGTTAAAAAGGAATGCTGATCAAAACAAAGCGAGATTCTGAATACTTCGGTTCGTTTTAACGTTGTTTCTTTTCTCTTTTAATTGTCACAAACGGCACCAGTGGATTGGAACTGGTGCAAGAAACCAAGAACACTTGAAGCTGAATGCATCAATATTACAAGTCTTCGATGAAGTTCAGGCTGCAATATCGTGCATTAGGTACTGTAGCGAAATAAATCATTAAATCTAGCTTTATCAACTGGTCAAACCTAGTCTCAAACCTATTACATGCTCCATATCTCCATCTAACATCTACCAGTTAATGGGCAAAAAAAAACTGGTAAGGGGCCGGTGGGCCTAATTGTCTTCAGAGCTGGTTCAGCTGCTTTGATGCGCTTCAGATATGCTTATCTAAAGAGGTTGGAGGAGAAAGCCAAAAAAATGACTGAGACTCAAGTCGATTTGGGTTCTCTGGGTTATGCACCAAGCATAGCTTAGAGCCCGTTCCGGAGGGCTTCTGTGTTCTGATTGAGGCCATTACAGAGAAGTGACGTGGTTGAGCATGCATGTTCTGAATAAACTACTTGGAGTAATTACACTCAACAGTCATAAAAAATGGCGTTCGGAATCTGTATGTCTGCATACTGGATTTTTATCAAACATAACTTCTGCATTTTTCATCTTGAAATGCCAGAAGCCACCGTGTGAAATCCCGCCCAAATGGGCACTTAAAGGCTGTAGAGGCCCACCTTGAAAAGACATAAGCTGCTGTGCTTCATTGATCCCAAATGGGCACTAAAAGCCCACTGTTCAAAATATAATGTTTAGGAAGAGTTGTGTACTTATGTCACATCACTTAGGCCCCGTATGGTTCGTGGGAACAGGGTTCTAGTATCGGAATCGAGATGGGTTATTCCGATTCYAACTGTTTGGTTGGGAGGAATTGGAATCCCATTCCTGCTGGAATGGCATTCCCCCATTTAAAGGAATGTCCATTCCCTACTCCTCCCCTTGGGAATGAAATCACTCCAATTTTCATTCCCGTTCCTGTCTGAACCAAACAGACGATTCCAAAGAACTTCAATTCCGATTCCTATTCCAACTGCGAACCAAATGGACCCCTAATAACATATAAAACAAATGAAATCCACCAGTAACCAGTTGTTAGTATTTTGAGTAACGGTGGGTTGAAAAACCAATACTTAGGATATGATATGATATTTTAATCCTTGACTATATATATAAAACTGACGTCCAAATATAAGAAGTTTCGTTCCATTTGGAGAGAACAAGATGTCAAAGCTTCAGTCATTTAGAAAACCTTGATCTATATATAATTATTGAAATACTTTCTCCTTGTACTTTTGGAATTACTTGTACAAACAATTCGGCGCAGAAATGTAATGACTTCAAAGGTAGAGAGAAAAAAAAAAACGTTTATTAGATCAACTAAGGGACCAATCTGGCCGAAATTGAAGTTTGTTTAATAGGATAAGAAGATACGATTTTCTTCATTCCTTGACCTCATTGTTCTGCAGGAAATACAAATGAATGAATGATCCACCATTTTTTAGTACTTCTGACATTGACTTGCTACTCATTTAAATTATTGTTTACATGTAAACAATAATACAAAATCCTTTTCATTGATCTTCTTCTTGGCTTCATTATCTTCAAGGAATTCGAGTCACATCCAAGGCACATAATTAAGGGTATAACCGAAATTTTAAATTTGACCAGGAGGGCTTTGTTTGTTTGCAATGCAATTTTATTTGTACTAGTAGAAATGCATGAAAATATATAAATCAGGAGAGGGTAAATTCTGATTCACTTTTGCTTGGAGTTTTTAATTTTATTATGATTTTAAGTTTTAATTTATCTCATTTACACTGCAAACAAACAAAAAAAAGAGTAAAATTTAAAATCAAAAGTAAATCAGAATTTGCATTCAACTCATTTGTACTCTCATGGTTTTACACCAATACAAGTGAAATTGCATTGCAAACAAACTAGGTCAACATGAAAAAAATCCCACATCTTCTAGCAATATTTTTATTTTATAACTTGAGAAGACTTTTTGGTAAGAAGAATAGTCATTTGCACTTTAGGCTGCATTTGGAAACAATGCAAATAGAGTGTAAATCCTGGTTTAGGGTAAATTTGCACTCTGGTTCACTTTTGGGTGTGTTTGGCAATATTACATTTTTGCATTGACCAATGACAGACCAATGCATATTTGCATTGATAATAAGATACAAAAGTACATCAATAAAAAGAAGTAAATTTGCATTCAAGTGGGTTTTTGATAAAAAAAGGTATATGCTTTACTGGAATTCCTGTTTGCATCCATTACAACTAAAAGCCTGTTTGGTAAGAAGGTAAATTTCTCAGTGCAAAACTAACCCAACTTTGCAATTTATATGAACCATTTTACACTCTACATATTTGCATTTACACTTATTTGCATCATTTCCAAACACAGCCTTAGGCTCAGTTTGGAAGGAATACAAATACGTAGAGTGCAAAACCTTGTATTTTATATTATTTTGTATGTATTTGTATTGTACATATTTGTATTTATACTCTTTCCAAACGGAGCTTTCCTTTCAAATGGAGTTTTGCATTTGGGGAGAGTACAAATACAAATATGTCTGGCTCAGAAAATGAAAAGTCGGTTTATCTTTTATATGCATAATTTTGTCTTCTTGCCAAATGATTTTTAGTTGTGACAGGTACAAACACTAAACAGGCATTTGCACTAGGAATCAATTTGGGAAGAATACAAATCGARACGTGTACAATGCAAATACAAGGTTTAGAAATATAATATACAATGTTTTGAATTGTACATATACATATTTGTACAGTTTGAGAAAAATGCAAATACAAATACAAAGTTTAGAAATATTATATACAAAACTTTACATTGAACTTTCTATTTGCACTGTCCATGATATGACGCCTATCCAGATTCTTGATTTAACTTTACCCTAAAACCATGTTATAACAAAAACGAACTCCATGATATGGTGCAGTAGACAATTTCTGGGTCACAAGCTTGGACCTGGTCATAATTGGGTCCAGCCCAGGTTCATAAATTTAAGATCCTATAAAAACTGGGTTCAATTATGGACCCGGTTAGTGCACATTATATGAATTTTCGAAATATATAAAGGGAAGGAAGTAAATCCTCCTTTTATATCTAATTGTATAATGTTTTTAAATGGAGTTTTTTGTCACTCAACAGTCATCATGAGCCCGCTCAAGTTGCTGTCCTACTAGAAGAATATAGGTCTGTGATTGGATGAATTGTAAGTTTTTTTTTTTTTTCACTATTTATTTAAAAGTTTTGATTTATTGATTGGATTTATAAGATTAAAATATTTGAACAACTATTGATTGTAAGCATTGATATTATTAAAGGAAAAAGAGAAAAAAGAAGATACAAGTCAGCCTCACGTATGGAGATTATGAGCATATGTTTTGACCAATGATCTTTAGGCTGTGTTTGGTTGCAGTGCAAAATTATTTGCACTAGTACAAATGCATGGGAGTTCAGATGTAAAAAAATGTAAATTCTTGTTTAATTTTGCTTTGGATTTTACTTTATTCTGCTTCATGTCTTAATTTACTTCATTTGTATTGCAATCAAACAAAATAAGCTAAAAGTTGAAACAAAAATAGGTCAAAAGTTACACTCAAATAATTTTGCACTGCCATGGTTTTGCATCAGYGCAAATTTATTTGTATTGCAACCAAACACAGCCTTAGGCTCGGTTTGGGAAAAGTGCAGATACAAGGTTTTGCACTGTATTGCACTCTTTTCAAACTGAGTCTTAGTTTGGGAAGAGTATAAAGACAAAAATGTACAGTACAAATACAAGGTTTAGAAATTTCATATACAAGGTTTTGCACTGAATATATTTGTACTTACACTCTTCCCAGTACTCCTATGTAGATTTGTTTGATTGGAAGGATGTAAATCTTGTTTGGTTTGTACTTCATAGCATCTTAGGTTGTGATGGGTGCAAACACGAATCTCAATGTTAGAATCAACTTATTTTATATTGGCCAATTTTGAGTGCAAAGCTTGCTTCCACTTTATTTCAAATGCAAATACAGTTGATAGAACAGATTTGCTTTCATTTTCATTATACAAACATATTTTTACTAAGGCTACATTTAGAAATGATGCAAATAGAGTATAAATGCATATATGCAGAGTGCATTTCGGTCCATACAAATGTAAAGTTGGGTTAGTTTTGCATTGACAAATTTATTTTCTTACCATATAATTTTTAATGTAATGGATTCAAAAACAAATCCCAATAAAGTAATATACATTTTTTAAGAAAAGCCCACTTTGAATGCAAATTTACTTCTTTTTTTGATGTAAAATTACACCTCATTTTCGA